GACTGCAAATTTCACTGCATGGTGACCACTTCTCTTTTCTTTGTATCAGCTTCTGGTCAGGTTTTCAAAAAGACAGGTAAAACTGAGTGGGAAAACTAAGAGGAACAGCAACTTGAATATAGAAAAAATCCTTATTTGGGCCTTACTTCTGACGTGATTACTAAGAAAGGTGTAGTGGTCCAAAGACCTCAGTTATTTTCTTCAGAGTAATGGCCACAGTTGGTCACCAAATGTTTACTGGTGTGAAGATGTCTATATACAGGAAGTGGGAAATGGGGTTGGGTCTGATTATTACTATTGATGTGGTCAATCTGCCCCTGACCTTGTTTGGGTAAGGAAGGGGAAGATGTGAAAATGAGACTGCGCTTTAATCTCTTGTGTGCATTATTATCTCCCCTCCAACTTCCTAAAGAAGTTTATTCCACTGGAGCCAGCTTCTCAGACTCATTCTCCCCTCCCTCCTTCTTTCCTCTACACTTACACAATCTCACAGGCATAGAGAAAATAACGCAGCAGCTGAAGCTGAGTAGCATCAGTTTGTTGTTGAGCTGAAGTGGTGATAGCATCAAAGGAAATGGATGGGGATTTCTGAGATCAGAGCTGTTAGGGCCATTCATGATTTGTTGCCAGGCTGAGAGAGGCTGCAAGAGAGATCTGCCTGAGAAATGCTGATTAATAAGGTAATTGAGGTTTTCTATGAGCGAGAGGGGGAAAAAATGAAAATATGACTAAAAATGTTCTTTTTGAAATGAACATTTTGAGATTGCAAATTCCAGACAATAGCAGCAGCTACTGCTATGAACGATTTCTATACAAAAGCAGCAAACTGCCAGTCGAATAAGATGTCTTTTTATGTGTCTCTGTAGGGAGGAAGGTCAGAAGGTCAGTGTCTATTTTTTTTTCATGGTAAAGTTTCCTCATGCTTGCTACTTTAATACAGAATCTTTACTGTTCGTCTTTATGTCCATCTCTGCTTTCCTTAACATGAGAAGCTTATTTAGTTTTATTCCCGATCATTAGAACAAGACCTACATGAAAGTGAAATCCCATCTCCTAAACTACTGTAGTTCTGCTCTCAGGCCTTTCTTAGTTCTGCTAAAACACCTGGAGCTAATTTCAGGGTTGCTTTGCTGAGTGCCACAAAACTATTTGAAGTGCGTACGCTCCATAAATTCCAGCCTGCTCCATCATCTCTGAAGATGGATTAAAACTGAGTTGGATTGGTGGCATCCTCCTATCATCCAAATAAATATTTGGTTTGATTCAAACAATCTTCTTTCTCTTCCTCACTGAAAAAGTAGCCTCATTTCCTTGAGGCAGACTTACCTGTCCCCGGTTTTCTTTCACTTTAAGTTGATCAGCCCTTGAATTGTGTGTGGGTTACCTTGTAACACACAGGGGTTTTTTTTTTTTATGCTGATAAGGAAGTGAAAACACTGAAACATCTGCATCTCAGAGTGAGACTATTTTGTGTGCGTGTGTGTGCGTGTGCAAAAGAACCACTTCAGTATGACTACATTGTTTTTCTGCTCTATGTGGTGTGACTCAGCATCAGTTAATTAACCCAATCAAGTAGGCCGGATTTCTCCTCTTCCTGTTTCAGAGCTTTCCTAGACCTCATTTTGGATGTGCCTTGGTTATACCCTATATATCCAATTACATTTATACCCATCAGCACCAGTGCCCTTGCCACTTTCTTGTGGAATTACACACTGGTAGCAGTTAAGCCAGGACACTCGCTCACAGCAGTTGCCCTACTTACATCCAGTGGCATGAGCCCTTCTGCATTAGAACATGCGGAAGGTCTTTACACAGATATACTATTCTCAGCATTGCAAAACCTAGAGAGGCAAATAATCCTTTCCACCCTTCTTTTTATCAGCAGGAATGGGGTGGGGTGAGGGTGAGAGGGAGGTGTGTACACACTTGAGAGAGCTAGCCATCTGATTTCACAAAACAGTATTTTTCTGAAAAGAAATATGAAACATCCGCATAGGCCTAAACATATAAATGTGTGTTTGTGGGGGGAGGGGGAAGTAAAACATGCTGCATCCTTAGTAAGAGGAAAGACATTATAAATATGTCTGCAGATGTGAGGCAAGAAGGAAAAGTAGGAGACTTGCCCTTCAGTGAGCCAACTGGTGTTTGTAATAGGGTGGCTGACTATAAATGGAATTGTGCATCATTGTTTCTCCAATCTGGAGGATTCCTCACTGAAGAGACAGGACCACTTGAAGGAAGTAAGGCATCTGGTTGTTTTGTAATGAGAAGCAGGAATGCTCTTAATAATAAACAAACAGGACATTGTATGCCATCATCACAGGATGTCCTTCCTTCAGTCACACATTGACTTGGAGAGAAGGAAAAAATTGACAAGGGCTCAGGGCCCACTAATGACTATACCAATCCTTCTTCCACTAGCAGCGCACTCCCGTTGAATACTGTCTCATACAAGCTTAATGCTGATTCTTTTTTTTTTTACATATTGTACTTAAAATTTGGTGCATGAATGTTTTTTTACTATGTGTTGTTTTGTAGGTATTTAATAAGCTTCCCCATTTATTACTTAGGGTGGAGGAAGCCACTATCTTTTTTTAAATTGATGTATTTTTCCTAACTTCCTTACTAAATATCAGTGTAAACAGATTTAAACGTAGAATTAACTTGTAGCCCTCACGTTTTGTAAGAAATCATTTAAATTCCGAGACTCCTGAATTGTATCAAATAAAATACCATAGTTGTTTAGATTTATTTGTTGGAAGCTTTAAATGATATTTTTATATTCTCTAACCTGGAAACGACTTTTTAATTGTTAGTTTTATGGCACCTCTTTTTTTAATTAATGGGAAAATTAGCTGTGTCCTTCAGACCTCACAGTTCAAAATAGTGGGGTAAATTTCTAGTAGACACTCAACGAGACAGCCATAATAATACGAAAGTCATATGTGTGCTTCATGTGGAAGTAAGGCTGGCTCCAGGGGAATGCTTATATCCATATGTAGTAAGAGGAAAAACTCTGTGAAATGTTGTCAGAAAGAAAAAAATTCCCCTTGGCTAATCTCCATATGAGTTACAGGTATAGCCCCACCCCCTGCTTTTGGCAGCCATGACTGTGAGTAAATCAAATGAGTGGCTGAAACAGGGAGGGGAAAGGAACAGGCTGCTTAGTTAACACAGAGACTGAAAGTATTGTAACACTCAGCCCTCCAGTGTTTCTGAGAGGCAAAAGCAGTAAGTGCAGCAGCACCTGTCTGACAGAGAGAGAGAGAGAGGCACAAGCAAAAGGAGTTAACTCTCTAGGTGTGAGTCAGTCTTACTCTAACATACCCAGTGGAAGGAAGAAGAAATGTTTACTCGGTAGATATGAGCGAGACTTATCTTAAACGTGGAGCTTCTGTTTGGAAACATTTGTGGACTCTACCTTGGTAAGGAACTTGATTCCTTTTCCCCCCCCCGGATCTATTATTGACATTTTAGTGCTGTGTTAATCAATATATTAATCTAAACACTTAGAATAAATAGCAAATGTTTCTTGTTAGCCTTTTCTGCGTTGATTTGGAAGACCTAGATATTAACCCTTTCACTTCTAGATGTAACTGTCAGTTCACTGGAGTTTCAATATTAGTCTTTATTTTCATCTTGATATTCACAGTCAGTAAATATTTAGCTGATGATTTGATTTGGCTATAAATTAGACCAAAATGTAAAGAACCAGTTTCTTCCACCCTATAAAGCTAGTGGGAGGCATTATTGTAAATATATGTCAAAAATTAAATGTTGTGATGCAGCATAAATGAGGTAAACTTTGTGTAGAATGTTTTTTTAAATGGATCTACATTATCCAGAAAGAAAGTCTTGGTGTGGTTACTGGATGTTTTATTTTAACTAGGAGTCAGAGATTAACAGAGATAAGTTCTCTATCCTTTCCCCCAAAAATGTTTCTTTTTATCTTGTAATCTATTTTTTCATTTTTGGGTTGGGAGAGGGAGGTAGAGGAGTGAACGGAGGAAATTCCATAATGGTTGAATATTTTTAAAGGAAAAATGAGTTTTTGATCCTGGATTTGAAAACCATTTACAACTACCAGTTTAAACAGCAACTGCATTCTTTGGTTCTACTTTATCTTACAGAAAGATGATGTTGTAATACCAATCTGACAATTTGGTATTGTATCTGTCCTAAATAGAAATAGGCAGTCAAAGACTTGATGGAATTTTCTCACAAGGATTCTATCTAGTGCCTTAAGCATATAATTCTGTAAGATGTCATCAAGACAAAGAAACATAAGGATTTTTTTTTCTTTTTCGTTTTGGTCCAAGTGAATGTATTCCAGTAACTTATGAAAAGCTTTTGCTGCAACGCTGTTGGCAGGATGTCGGCTTTTTCAGCCTTCCACGCCAAAGGATAAGAGGACGTCAGAAGGGAGCCAGGTTGTTTTGAGAGTTGTTTGTGTGTTGGAAGCCGGTGGGAAAGTTCAGGCTCCTCCATTTGGAAAAGGCTAGGCTGGGTTCCGCTCTTCCAACATGCGCTTTCCATTTTTAGCTTCACTCAGACGCAGACAGCAGCTCCTTCCTCTTCCTCTCCTTGTTTGTGACACTTTTTCTGAGGCAGCTTTTCCACAGGCACTGAGTGGTCTTGCGGCCATGACCCCAGATATTCTTGGGCACAGTACTGGCCTTGCAGAATTTCTTCTGTGAGGTGTTAAGAAAAGGATCTAAGAAAAGTAATGCAGATGCTGATCTTAGGGATTTCCCCCCATTCTTTTGGTTCCCTTATTATTATTAATTATTATTAATAATTATTATTATTACCAAGGCTGGCATTTTAAGATATTGCTTCAGTAAAGGCAACATAGTTTTATGCTGCCTTTTTTTTTTTTTTGGCTATTACTCAACTGTACCAACCGTACTGCATACGCTTTTAAAGTGCCACAGACTGATGTATTAGTCACACTGTCTCAAAGGAAACCACAGAAACTGAAGGACAATGAGGATTAAAAGATTTTTTTTCTTCTTTTCCAGGCTGCCACACAGTGTAGCTTGGACATTGTGAGTTTCCAAACGCTGGTGAAAGGGACGGAGTGGGCAATGAAAATGGACATGGAGGATGCTGACATGACTCTGTGGACAGAGGCTGATTTTGAAGAGAAGTGTACATACATTGTAAATGATCACCCCTGGGATCCCAGCGATGATGGAAGCACCATAACTCAGGCGGAGGCGTCCTTGCCAAGGAACTTGACTTTCAAATATACATTGAACTGCAAAGAGGTAAGCAGCCATCTGTTGGGGAAGGCTGGATCCCAACAGCCAAATCACAGTGCTTTGGAAAGTGACTGGTTCATTATGCTTCCGCACGCTAACCACCTTAAAAAATGCCACTGGCATTTTAGACAAATCCTTATAATTCTTTAAGGAACTGTAAACAAATAATCCATCACTTAACACTTCCATGGCTAAGTCACACATCCCTAAAATTGGTTCTGTACCAATTAGCAAACAGTTAAATCTTCAGGCAACTGCATAAGCACGTTTAAAGTGTGGGTTGTGTCCCAGTTTCTAGGCTGCTGTCGGCCAGTCCATTCATTGCCTCTGGCCTAGAGATTAAAGTGCCTCAGTTGTACAATAGCTTTGAAAAGGAAAAAAATATAATTCCTGGAAATGTGTTTAATCATTTTTCTCTTCTTTTATGAAATTGCTTTATTCTTTTAATGAACTTGCTTTATTTGCAACTTCCTAAATTCTCAAAACTCTGGCCTACCTATTAAGAAATGTTGGTAAAATTATTGCAATACTGTGCTGTGTCTGCATGCCTTAAATTAACTATTGTTTATCTGGGGCAGTACTTTTACTTGTAGCTAGACATGCAAGTATCCTTATCTCTGAAGTGGGTACATTCTTTGTTGTTGTTGTTGTTTCAGAAGGGCTGGGAAAAAATGAGCCTGGATGAGCAATTGGTCGTGTGTTTACTCCATATATACTAGCTATTATCGCTAGGTGTGATGTTCAACAGCATAATAATCCTAGGGACAACCCTTAATTTCTCCTTGTCCTGTGACTTGTGGTGGAGCAGCTATTACCTGTGTTACTACTATGGCTAAATATACTGACCACAGAGCTAAAAAGGGATGTAAATTCATTCTTGTCTAACTATCAAACGTGTCCTCCCAAAACAAGTACCATGGAAATGCATTTGCTTGTTTAATCCTGTGTATAGAAATAGGGCCAGATCCTCAACTGAAATAAACTGATGCAGCAGAATTTGGCCCTACAGGGCAGGCTAGAATGCATAGTGGTTTGGCAAGAGGTTAAGGCTAAACATCAAGTGGGAGGGAAAAAGGTATCCTCTAGAAATCTGAAGGGGAAAAGGAAGCTTAAAACCAGAAAAGCAAAAAAGCCAAAAATTGCTCCTTGTTTGTGGGGTTTTTTGGTTTTTTTTTTTAGTTAAATATTTTTGTGGTTTGGGAGATGAAGCTGTAACTCTGTGATTAACACATTTCCATATTCATTCTGGGTTGCTGACATGAATATGCAGTTTGGGATCGTTCTGAGTTTTAATTTTTTTTTTAAGTTGTTGAAAAGTTTTTCCAATTCTTTCTTATAAAATATGTCCAACTGGGATCCTTTTACTACAGGGAGTCTGAATACAGAACATCCTTTTTTTGTTTACCAAAGTTCCCCATTGTACTTGGCTTGTGCTGAGCGGCACATAGAGTAAGAAACAAAAGGAACTTTTGATTCCTCTCGTTTTATTCCATAACTCTGAATGAAAGAGCCAATCTGATTATCGCCTTCTATTAAAGCTATAGTACTTCATTTGTAGGCTTGCGATCCACTAGTCACTTGTCAACGTAGTGAAACAGTTTGCAGATCGTGTCGGTCACTTTCATCATAGTACCTCTTATTAATTTGGCTCTAAACATTTCTTTTTCCGATTGATTTTAAGGTTTTGTTTTGCTCTTCTGCCCTCAATTTTAGTAACCTGGTTTTTGTGCATAAGTGTTTGAAGGATCAGACCCTTATAGAGGGAGTGAGAAGGGAAGATAAAGGGAGCTTGATTCTGATCTTACCCCGGGTGCCACATCAGTGTAACTCTAATGACTCTAAAAGTTATTCCTGAATTGCAAAGGGTGGAGGTACAAATTGGGCTCTGTGTGTGTGTGTGTGTGTACGCGCGTGCATGTGAACATGGATCTATGGATTTTGTGAGTGAGTTGTCTTCACTGTAAACTTTGGGAAAAGATTGCATATTTATCTTGAGGAAGGATGTGAGCACTGAGCCAATTTATTGACAAAACCATACAGTACATGGTTTATGAAATATTAAAGCTCTCATAATCAGATCTGTATTTTGTAACATATGTCCTAAGGGACTAGGAATACGACAGTGTTGTATGTGCAGACTTGGGTGGCTTTGTTTGTTTGTTTGGGTTGTTTGGTTAGTTTATTTGCAGGGGGGGAAGGCTTTTTTTTGTGGGTTATTTTTCCTTTTCATGCATCCCTTAAAGACTTTTATTGAAATGTCAAGAGATTCCATGACACATCATACTTCTGTTTATTCTTGGACCTTGCCCCCGGGATTTTTTTTTTTTTTTGAAGGACACGTTTTTCACTAGGAACTCATTATATACGTCAGTATCTTTTTAAAATGAATTGTTTCTGCTCTTAACATTTGGAGTTGTTAGATTTACATGAAGACAGCTGTATATTTTTATGTGGCAGTTAGCTCTTTTCTCCACTTTAGCAATTAATGAAGACTAAAGTGATATACTTTGCAATATTACATGTGACTAATCTTTTTAAGATAACAATTTTAAAACAACGCAGAGTCCTTGTGGCACCTTAGAGACTAACAAATTTATTGAGGCATAAGCTTTCGTGGGCTAGAACCCACATCATCAGATGCATGGAGTGGAAAATACAGGAGCAGATATAAATACATGAAAAGATGTGAGTTGTAGCCAACGAAAGCTTATGCCCAGATAAATTTGTTAGTCTCTAAGGTGCCACAAGGACGCCTCGTTTTTGCTGATACAGACTAACACAGCTACCACTCTGAAATTTTAAAACAGTTTTTCAGGAAATTTCCTTCTGCTTCAATCTTAACACACTCCCCCCAACCCCGCACTTCTTAGTATAAAATATCAGTTAGAAGTTTGGGACCATCAACACACCATTTATCCTGTTGTTTTTACTGAATCTGGAAAAGGATAAATTATGAGGAGTTTACAGAATCCATTACCTGTAGCATAAGATCTTTAATGCAGTACTTTCTATAATAAGGCTACTCTTCAAAGGGATGAGTACTGGATTCCGAGCTGTTTTGACCAAGTCTATTATAAACTGCTTTAAATATACACCTCACTAACCTCACGCACTTGCCCTTTTACAGATAATTCACCGAAGCTGTGTTTTATTTCTATCTTAGATAATTAAGGAGGATATAACCAGAAAGCATTTCCTCTCACTTTACCACTTTTAAAAAATAAATCGCAAGCTGCAGGTCTTGGTTCAGCTGCAGTTTTCTTCCAGTCAATTTAATAAAAATGTTTGTATGTTTCAAAACAAAATGCTAACCGAACCACCATTCCAGATTTACATTTACAATTATTATGAAAATATACTGTAATAAATTGAACCAGGGGTGAAAAAAACATGCTATTTATCAGATTTATTTAAGAGCATCCCCTTCTCTCACAACTAATGTGTTATTGGTTAACTCACAGCCCCTACTCCAAACAAAGGAGTGTAAATTCTCCTCAATTTTTTAAAATATCAAAATGAGAATCTAAGGAATACTGTTTTTTGTCTGGGAGCCATGACTTGTCAGGATGTGCTCTGTGACCCAATCCATTGACAAAGATGGATATGCTGAAATGGCAGGGAGGTCGGTGCTGGCCATAAAGTATCTAGTGGAATGGCTTCTGTGGGGGTAGATGAAGCATGAAAGTGTTGAAGCTTTTCAACTTCTCACTGATGTGTTTATAGAAGGCATACAGCAGCCTGCCCCAGCAGTAATTCATTAGGACCCTGGTCAGTTCCAATGGTGTTTCCTTCCTGGGTTAGGTGAACACTGTCATTTAAATGGCCTTTTGAACAAACCTGAGTTCAAGCAGAGTATAAAAAGCAATTATTTAACATCTACATATAATGCACCAATCAAAACACAGCAGTGCTTTCCTTGCAGACAGTATCGGACAGGATCATTGAAGATTCTGCAGCTTGTTGTTCACAATGAGGCAGCTGTCTGCTCTTCTAAATGCTGGCACCTGGTTATCTTAGCATGCAAGCATTGTGTTCATCCTATCACACACAAAGTGGGGTGAAAGTGTCTTAACTTACTTTAGTAAGGAGCATAGCTTATATACATCACAGAAGATATTTCAAATCACAAGTCTAACATGAGAAAATGTTTTTTATTGTAGAAATATTGTTTTTCTGATAATGGAATTAATGATAAGTGTTTGTGGCAGTATTAAGAGATTTGAAGTGTCTATACCTTTAAAAGAGAGAAACATAATTTCAAAAAACATTTTGAAAACAGATTTTTGTTTTGTTGCAAAGTTTAAAATTTTAAATCCAAAGATTTTAGAAAAATCCTTAAAGCCTTAATGTTTTTAGTAGTAGCTTACTTGTGAGAGTCATTATCAGACTCATGTTCATCCACAAGATGTGGTAGCTTCAGACAGTATCCTCACAGTTCACAAGGAGTGTGCTGAAGGACACCTTGTGGACAGAAGTTTGAAATGTTTGCTCTGTATCTGCTTTTGGCAACTAAGGCCCAACTTCCTTTCTGCTTTTGATCCGTAGCATTTTTTCTGATTTGTCTGCAGTCCTTGGCAACCTTGATTACCAACAAAGAACGAAGTACAATAACTAAATCCCACTACACTATGGTATGGCAAGAGTCTCTTTGATCTTGATTATGGCACAGGACCAGCCTCCTGTCTGGCATGAGATCTAGAACCCAGAGTTGTCTTGGTGTCATCAATGTTCCTCTGCTGGCTTGTGATTTTGAGTTTAATGCTACTTGTTCATAACAGTTGAGCTTTTAGAGACATAATTTATACTATACACTCTGATCAGAAACCACAGGTGGCAAAAAGTAGATAGTTAACAAAACAAAAAAGGGTGTTTAGACACGCATGTGTGCACGCACACTTCTAAAAAATATTATGCCAAAATATCTTCCATTAATTATTGGATGATAAACCATATTAATGTTTTATATATTGGGCAAGAATCAAATGCTGTACATATATAAAAAAAGGATCTGCTGTGTCAGAGAAGCCAATATAGTAAATGTTTCAAGTTGACTACTTCAAGCAGTAGTGATTTCTAGACATTCTGAGAATTTCATTAGATATTTTAATTAAGACCAAGACATTTTAAAACTGTGAAAGAGCTAAAATATACTTTACAGTTAAACTGCTATGAACTTTTCTAGAAAGGGCAGATGGATGTAAATGAAGGTAGATGGGGAAGATGAGAAAGAACATCTGCCTTTTTCAACTCTCTACGAGAAATGTACAAGAAGGATAAAAATAAAACTGGGCCACTGAACATGTTTCAACTTGTGGTAGGTGTAGGAAAATTTCTGGAAGTCCCTTTTTCTCTCACTCTCCAGTCCAGATGCACAAATCTTTGCACGCGCACACACCAAAACACTTGCAAGACAGCATTACCATCTACCACATAACCACCAATCCACTTCCCAATGGACTATATGCTTGATTCCTCAGTAGTTCTTGTTCAGTTCTGTTTCCCATTTCACATAAAACTTTGCTAAGCGTTAATTGTTTGTTTGCATTTCCAGTCAAGAAGTCAAATCAGAATATTTATCCATAGACAATGTACAATAGAACCTTACTAATTCTCATTTCACTAATACACAAACCAATAATGTGCTCTCATTCACACACACCCAAACAGAACCATCATAGCCCCATTTTTCAGCAAAGATTTAATAGCAGAAACGGTGGTTGGGTTTCATGTTATAATGCATAGTCACGTTTACAAAATACCATGTACGATGCAGAACATTTGCTAGAGCACTGTGAAGTGCTTCAAGTAAACCTAAATGCTTACTCATCTGAACAAAGTACATAATTGTGATGATCCTTAATTTATTTGGTTAACTGTGTTTGTTTATTTGTGAATTTTCAGAATTCAGGAATCAGCAATGGGGTTCCAATTATTAGTGCCAATCAGCAAGGCTCTGCTGTAGTTCTATGGCACAATAAGAAGTATTACCTAGTAAGGTGTATGAGAGGACTGTATTTAATTGGCTTTACTATGAAAGTTCAGTAAGGTTACCAAACCAACAGCCTGTTTTATTTCTCCTCCCTGCTTCTTAAGCAGTCTTGCAAAGTCCTGATTTTTGGTTTACAAAATTATTCTGCTTATAACACATTGTTTAAATACACAAAAATTCAGAGGACTGGTGGAGAAAAGGGAAGGACAAAACCAAGAACTCAGCCATGTGTTGTAAAGGGTTACTCAAAGGCACGTTCTTCTGAATAATGATGAATTGCTTCCTGATTTGTGGTCAGTGACTTTTTTAGTGTAATTACTGTCAAGGAGGAAGCTGAACAGCTACAATATGTATCTTAAACTTGGTACAGCAGAGCATTTTCACCAAAAACCTACACTTCCTTGACCAGACCCACGTAACACATATTACAGGAACCTCTGTCTCTTTTAAAGACAGTAATCTGTGAGCACACTTTCCCAAAGTCAGTTCATATTGTTTGTTGATTTTTATTGTATGGTAATGGAAGAGTTGTAGGTTTTGGATGTTTTTTCAGCCATTCAACAAGGTACCAGAGCAATAAAAGGGTTTTATTTTTATCTAGAAATAGAGACTGCACTGAACCCCTTTTACAAGAAAACTACAAGAGAGTGGTAATTTCAGCACACTGAAGTGCTTACTACTGAATATTTTTAGTTTCTGAGACTAGAATTTTGACATTCACCTTTGATAAGAAAAGCTACATCTGTAAGTGGTTGGGAGTGGTATTAGTATCAGTAGGTTAGAATTCTTTAATTTGCTGATCTTTTCTTAACTCTGAAACACCTGACCCTCTTGTTTTAAGGGAAAAAAATTGCTTTCAGTGAGTCTTTCTGTTTCTGCTTACAAATACAAACAAATTTCTGTATGGCAGTTTTTCATTATTTATGCACCTGAAGCTCTTTTCACTACTGGCCTCCATATTTTTCAGCAAGAAACTGTAAGTTGACATAGTTTTTCATATCAGATGTCAATGTGGCTGTTAGTTTATTTCTGCTTTTCTGACCTCTCATCAAAAATATATTGGGCTTGGGCTTTTTAGTAAGAACAGGAGTGACTTTTGTTTTCTGTTGAAGATGGGCTGATCATTTGCTCTTCTCCTTGCAGGTTACTGGAGTAGTAAGTAAAGAGTACATCCCTAAAGGAACACGTTTTGGACCCCTGGTAGGAGAGATCTATACCAACGATACAGTTCCCAAGAACGCAAACAGAAAATACTTTTGGCGGGTAAGCAGGAAAAAAACAGCTCCATGTTGATGCAGTAATCAGATCACTAAATGAGTACAGCTGAAAAGCTGGGTCACTTCCTGTTTCAGACCTGTGTGAGTGCAGGGGGCAACTTCTTTACTCTGCCATATATGAACAGAATTCTGAGAGAACAGTGGTGAACTAAGCTGAGTAAACTTCTGGCCCTCTTGGAAATGGGGACAGTGTGGGTGGAGAGTGAGGGAGATGCACAACAGCTCTTGGCTCTGTCTTCTGCAACACATCAGTGCTTGATCATATAAAGAAATAGCTCTGCTACTTGCTGCCAGGGTAGGTTGATTTGCATTTCTACACAAGGAAATAGTAATAAGTCCTTCTTTAAGACTTAAGAATGTCATGTATTCTTGATTTCTAGCTAATACATACTTGAGAGTGAGTAGGATGTATTCTATAATTATATAATCTTTTATGCTGGAATTATTAAAATCTGAATAACTTTTTAAGCATGTTTCAAATTCAACTATTGTAAAACAGTGTTTATCTCTTCAATATGTGTATTTTAAATGAACAGACATTTCTAGGGCCAGTTGAGAAAATGTTGCCAAACTGGCTGCCTCATCATGGCCATGTATCCCACTAATGGCAGGCAGAAATGTTAATGTGATGTTTACTGCTCATAAGGTAGTTCAGCGTGGTATGGAGTAGGAGTCTGTGTGTGCTAACTGAGCACTCTGTGTTGATAACTTAGGCACTGGAGGAGTGCCTTTGGCACTCCCTGGAGGAGTAAGGATAGTCTCCTTCCCTTCCCCCCTCCATTTATCTTCTGCCATCCCTTTCATTCAGCCCTTCCTTCCTTCCTTCCTTCCTCCTGGTGATTGAGAAACCTCAGTGAACTAATCCCCCAACTTCCTCCACAAACACTTTACCAGTTCTGTATCCATCCATTTTGCTCCATCTTCTTCCATGGAACTGAACTTGTTGCCCTCAGATCACTAAGCCGGTCTATCACAGGATTTGATGCAAATATGGGTGAGTGGGAAGAGAGATTTGTACTCTGTATCTGAGCCTTGCCACTGGGAGCCTAATCAAATGGCTTTTTAGTAAGCCTCAGGTTTGCTCTAATTGTCCTGGCACTTGCTTGCATTCTTTATATAGAAAGACTACCGCTACACTGTGCGTGCATAAAAGCATAACTTTACTTTTAGGCCTTGTCTACACTGGCCGTGGTGTATATTATATGTGTAGCTACACACTTCAGTAGAAAGCGGGCTGCTTCCACACTGCTGCACGCGGCAGTTTCAACTCTAGCACGAGAAGGCAGTGGAGAAAGCTTCTGACAGCGTAGACATAGGAGGAACGACTTGGGCACGTAGGGAACCATGTACGGTACATACCCTAATGGTCTGGAGTGTCTTTACTCACCTAAGCAGTGCCTTGTCAACTACATTGCTGTTTATACCTGTGCTGGGGGGCATGCAGGATGCATATTCTACATGCCGCCCTAAGTGTAGACATAGCCTTAGTGAGCTTTTCTATAGCTCTTTTTGGGGCCTCTAAGGAAAAACTAAGTTAAGTAATTACCTCATTTGGGTTTTCTTATACTTTCTCCCACACAATTTTACTCATTGGCACATGGATAATAATTAACATAAATGTTCACACAAGGTGCAGGAGTGTTTTTACGCTTGTGAGACAAAGATCTTGTACTTAATTACCAGAGTCGAGGTCCCAGAAGGGACTTAGGTGTTGCAACACTCAGCTTGGCCACACCTAACTTTTAGATGCCCTGCTGTCCAGTGGAATCCTCTCAACCCTGAGTTAGGTGTCCAGGCTCCTTGTGCAATGCATAGGAAGAGTTAGGTGCTAAAACAAGGGTTTCACAGATGCAAGCGAGTTGAATGAGGAGTTGCCTAAACTAGCCCATAGGAAATGCTGAGGAGAGTCTTTAGGTGTCTATCTTGCTTTAGGTGTCTATCTCCGCTCAGGCTTCTTCTGGAGTTAGGCACCTAAGCCAGGTAAGCCCTTTCTCATGAAAAAAATAGAGATAGACAGTCACCCACCCTATACCATTATAGCCAATAGTCCAGTGGTTAGAGCACTCACCTGGGCCATGGAACACCTGTTTGCAGATACCTGCTGTGCCTGGTTTGGAGCAGGGCCTTGAACTTGAACACCAGCCTATGGAGTAAATTTGCTCTCTTTCTGAACTAATATTTAATACCAAGTGGAACAGCTCCAAGAGGAAATTGAGCACTTCTCACTCCAGAAGAGCCAACAGTCTGGTGGTCAGGGTATGCACCTGGAATATGGGAGACCTGGAGTCAAGTCTCTGCTCAAATTGGGCAGGATGGGAATTTGAAAACAGGTCTCCCACATCCTGGGTAAGTTCTCTAACCACCAAACTATTGGGCTTTCTAGGACACCCGCACACCAGCCAGCCCCAAAAATTCCCCATCTGGTCACTGCTGGCTGGCTTTTTGTGTCAGGCCCAGTCCAGTAGGCATGGTCTGAAAACACCTATCTGGCCCCACAGATGGGGAAGTGCCTGTTTTTTGACTTAGGCATGAGGTAGGGTGCCACACAGCTTAGGAGCATCAGGCTTTCAGCAATTTTGCACATGCCCAGCAGCAGAAACTTAGTTGCCAGCAGAGACATTGCCAGCAGAAAGTCAGGCATGTGAGGAATTTGGGTGCCTATATGTTTACTTGGTAGCTGACTGGGTGATTTGAGGAGCTAAGTGTTAGACTTAGGTGCCCTTGTGGGGCTAAGTCCAACACCAGGAGAAAAGAATAACAACTTTTGTGTAACATTACCTGTGGGGAATAATTCAGCAAATATTCAAAGATGGTTTTTAACTATTTTCTAGGATTTTAGTTATATATTGCTGTAAGAAAGATGACCTCATTTTTGTGATGTTACTTTGTTTTAATGTAAAGCTTCTTGGAAATAATATAGGAGTCTTCTAAGGGTCATTAAACTTACTATTATAATCTCTTGATTCAGTACAGACACACTGCCGTAACTCAAATGAATTCCTTCCTCAGGGATTGAAACAGTCTTGCACATGCAAAGGAAGCTGTGGGAGATAACTTCCCACATGCTATAAAAGGCATCCTGATTTTGCTGGCAGGAACAGGAACATCTGCTCTGTGTGAACATAAATGTTCCATGCAAATTACACACACGGATAGGAGAAGGGGGACATGAGGGCTGTGCAAACCTCAGAGTGACATCATTTCTTGTAACTGTACTATGAGTCAGCACATTTTTAATCTTCTTGATAATATATGGAAATCTGGTGAGATGGCAGAATAAGGTTTTGTGGGGGTGTGTATGTGACCTCATGATACTGGTATTTTCTTTTTTTAAAAGAAGTACAGTAAATTGTACTATCTATGGAAGGGTAACTGGAAGACCTTCAGTGTAGCTTTAGAAAGCAGCTTCCGTCTCTAGTAGAAGTGCACAGCAATGGAACCCCAAGTTCCTGGAAGTTTGCAAATCGGAGTAAACAAAGAAACTTGAAAACTCCTCTTGATAGCAGAATTCACCCGGCTCTGTTCCATTTTCTCATAACAAACACACCGCAAAATCTCTCACTAGCTTCTTTGATGAAGCCACATGTATTTCCCCCTTCTCAATTTACAGGAAGTTACTCTTAAAAGAAAGTGATTCTGGTGTTTACTGCCTGCATTAAAGGGCCAGGCTGTCTTTTTTTCCCTTTTTTTTTTTTTTTTCTTCTCAGTTGACTCTTGCAGTTACTGTTCAAATGAAAAAGAAAGTAGTATGAGCATAGAGACAGAGAGAGATGTATTTCACTGATGAGATCAAACATATTAGGTCTGTTCTTTAGAAAGAGAGAGTTCCTGCCTCAAAGAGATTCCAATCTAAAATCCAAATGGCTCAGTCTAAGACTAACTTTTACCCGATAACTTATTGTGAAACTCAGGCATTCTTAAATGGCTTATTTCATCAAATAGTGGCTGAACTAATTATTTCCACAAATAAGCTATCTTAATTCTAAAGGACATATTTGTTGAGTTCATTAGATTTTCAATTAATTTTCATATTCTTATAACTTTGTCAAATGACATCTTCACTCATTGAATTGGGTTTTTTTTCTTGTGCATGTTGCCAAGCAGTTTTATACGGTTGGGTTTTTTTTTTTTTTTTAAAGTGTATGCCTAAACATGCCTATTGAGAGGAAACGTGACTTTCATACTGTCAAATGCTGGCCCGTTGCCAGGTCTTCAGTTATGGCAGGTGAAGTTCACCTTAGCCCCACCCAGCTTTTCCAGAAAAAAGCTACATTCCAAGAGTGAGCAAGTGTTACTTTAGGACTGTTGGGGGTGGAGGATGTTTGCATAGTTTAAACCTTTGGGCGGAGGTGGTAGGAAACTGCAAGTACAGAGGCCATAGAATAAAACGGAGAAAGAGACTGTGTTTGACGTAGCCTAGCTAGTCAGTCTTATACACAGGTGACTCAAAGCATTAATGCAAGCACACAGTCAAACCTGAAGTCAACAGTATCCCACACTTGTTGGATCATAGCAGCAGAAAAAGACCTCTAAGGTAGACTTACTTCAGACAACTCTTCATGTTCTGTGGCTTTCATGTGTGCACATTAATAGAGCAAAACGTTGACTAAACATAAATGGAAAAGGTAACTGGGAGAATGTACCTAATCAAGAATGAGCTTTATTACTCTTAATGCTGAGAATGTCTTATTTGGAAAGGGGACACCCATTTCTGTATTTATTTTGTTGGTTATTTGGTTGATCGTGGTTTTTTGTTTTTTTTTTTAAAGTAATCTCTTATTTGCCGTATGTACTCTGTGTGTGTGTGTGTGTATACACTATACATATATATTCATAATATTCTGCCCTCATTTAGATCTATTCCAGGGGTGAACTTCACCACTTCATTGACGGATTTAATGAGGACAAGAGCAATTGGATGCGCTATGTGAACCCAGCCCATTCTGTTCAGGAACAGAATTTGGCAGCTTGTCAGAATGGAATGAACATCTATTTCTACACTATCAAGCCCATCCCTGCCAACCAAGAACTACTTGTGTGGTATTGTCCAGACTTTGCAGAGAGACTGCACTATCCTTCCTCCAGAGAGCTGATGATGAATCTCAGTAAGTGGATTACAGCATAAACAAAGAATGCTAGTAATGTCTCTTCTGCCTATGTGATCTAATAATATATTGTATAATTATATAGCTGAATCATCTGTTGTGTCACAGTAGGTGGTTTGGAGTAGAAAGAAGGAATTTAAAAACAGTTTCTTGTGCTGTTTAAATACAAACAGATGATTAAAAATTTAAAGTTATTGGTTTATAATCTGAGAATTATCTGATGAAATCCTACACAGACCATTCCTCTCCCTCTCCCCTCCCTTAAAAATAATTGACATTGCTGCATGCTGAGACTTTAGAGATTCCAGGTTTCATGGGTCTATTTAAAAAAATTCTGCTTTGAAAATGTTCACAAAGGGATGTTTCAGAGTAGCAGCCGTGTTAGTCTGTATCCGCAAAAAGAACAGGAGTACTTGTGGCACCTTAGAGACTAACAAATTTATTTGAGCATAAGCTTTTTTACATGCATCCGGTGAAGTGAGCTGTAGCTCACGAAAGTTTATGCTCAAATATATTTGTTAGTCTCTAAGGTGACACAAGTACTCCTGTTCTTTTTACATAGGGATGTATATTTGGGTTCCAAATGGACTGTCCTTACTGTGCAAGGAACTGGACCCAGGCCATGTGCATGTCTTCCAAACCTTTATGTCTAACTTCATTTCTGATAACAACAAAACTCAATTCTCTCTCGAATCAGTTATAGTGTAGTTTAACACAATGTTGTTGTTTTTTTTTAATTTCTTTCCATGTGTGTCAAAATTGCTAACGGTGTGAAGATGCATTCCTTTTTTTTTTTTTAGCTGTATGTTCTGCCATGGTTTCTGACCATCTCCAACTTTAGACTTTTATCCCTAGATTTGATACACTACTGGGGTCTCATCCAGCGTTAACTGAAAGCTGCAGAAAGACTCCAATTGGCTTTAATCAGACCCTTAGATTCAATTTTCTGTTAGCCTTATAATATGCCTATATATATATGTAAGAGTTGGAAACAAAAATTGTAATGCATTTATTTTTATATGAAATGGGATTTACTGCTATCTGGTGATGGAGAATGGGTTATCAAATATCAGTATTAGTTTGGGGGTGGATCAAGATAAAAATGCAGTCCCCATCTTTGTATACAGCACAGACTGCTCAGGAATTGCCAATACACATTTCTCCTCCTTTTTACTTTCATTAGTTGCTTCCCACCCCCTTAGTGATTACAAAGCATGTTTACTCTTTTGAAACACTAGAAATGCTTATTTAGGTACTAAGGATCTGAAGTTCCTAGGTTCCTTACTCAAACAACATTGATTTGCTGACTATAACCTTATCTCAAATGTCATTTCATTAGTTACCATGCAATTTGGTCTCCTGTTACACCTAAACTGTGCAGGCCTATCCATGTGACATGTCAACAACATTAGAGGTTCATTGGTTCACGTGTACAAGTAGTTTGCAAACATATAATTAGTCACATTTCAAAATTTATCTATGCATCCATTTTTTTCCATCTCTGCTGGCTTTTTGTGTTACCTGTACTCCCCACTGATACAGCAAGATATTTGTAAAGTACTGACAAATACTCTGTTGACTATTGTCCAGATCACTGTGTGTGTCTGGAAGCATTCAGCATCTGTATCTTTATGAAACTGTTCTGTAAAAGTAGGTTTTAGATCTGGATTGGAGCCACTAGCAGTGTAAGGAAGTGTACTGTTTCCTAACAGTTTTGTGTACTTGAAAATAGACGACAGAGAACATCCTATATTGGCATGTGGATGGACATAGAGACTGATAGGTCTCTTCCACTTCTGATTTTTGACATTCCTTAAACTCTCTATCATTTTTATTAACTATATTTAAATTAGAGATTGTCCTTGCCTTGCACATCTACAGTTTAGCAATACAGAGAAATGAGCATAAGTCCTTTAGTTTTTTAAATGGGCTTCCTTCCACTGTTAGCACTGGCCCTCCCCTGTTAAAGCAAATCTTGTCTACACTCTCCCCCCCCCATATCCCTGTGACAAATATGTTTTGGGCAATGAGGCCTACAGTCTGGCAATAAAACCTTCACAATAGGTTGTGTCCAACAACTTTTCTCACCCATTGGACCATCAGACGTTTGTGGTCTGTTCATTGAAGGTATAATGTAGCATTGCAATTCATACAGTGGTGCTGGAACAATTTTTGTAGTGGGGGTGCTGAAGGCAGAAACCATGTATTTGGGTTGTTATTCCTACTTCAAACCAGGGGGTGCAGGAGCACCCCTACATCCAGCACTGATATTTCTCCAGATTTAATATTAGAGGAACTACTATACCAGGAAAAACAACAAGGAGTCCGGTGGCACCTGAAAGACTAACAAATTTATTTGGGTATAAGCTTTCGTGGGCTTGAACCATACCCAAATAAATCTGTTAGTCTTTAAGGTGCCACCAGACTCCTTGTTGTTTTTTGGATACAGACTAACACAGCTACCCCTCTGATACTATACCAGCACTAATATTAGAGACACTACTATACCAGCTTTAGCTTTCCTCAGCACCAGCTCTTACAAGTTAAAATTAGCAGATACCCACTAATTTCTCCAACCTTCCAGAGAGACCTCAGTGGCAGTCTCCAAGCTAGGAAAAAATCCAAAAGGCCTTGTCCTGGACTGTTAAGATCCTGCACAAGCTGTAGATTTTAGACTTTTTAGACTTTCCAGCGATAAAATAATCAAAGAATTTCCTCTAGCTTAACTGAAGCCCTTAATTGAAGGAAGTTATCAGAACCACTACATAGAACACACACATAGACACACTCACTTGCCTCCATGAGGACAAATTTTTAACTTTAAATATAACCTTTCAAGTTAGTTCATTTAGGCTCCAATTCAGGAAAGAGTATGTATTCAGGACAGCATTTAAGCACATGCTTAATTGTGAGCTTTAGTGCTTTCCTGAATCAAGCCTGAGGCCCATGTTCTGCAAACATTTATGCACAGTGGGACTACTCATTGTAGTAAAGTTGATCATACGCATAAGTGTTTGCAAGGAGATACAAGGTGTTTGTAGGATCAGGGCCCTGATTTGTCTTAGGGGAAGGAAGTATAATCTTACCATTTACATATTTCTGTCTTCCTTTTTTCTTAATCTATTGACATTGTTTTGAATCAAGATTTGAGTAATAACAACAAAGAAAATCACCTTCAAATAGTTCCTGTATTACATGTTGTGCAATACATGTTTTAGGTGTGGTGACACATGATTTCTACATTCTGTGGACTGAGAAAATAATTTCCACTATTTCAAACCTGCTGCACTTACTGAATAAGGATTCCAAATGAATCCTGACAGTCACTAATAGTCTAAAGCCTATCATGTTTTAATATAACTGGCATAGACTCAGGAAATTTGATTGTGGTCCCTCATGTTCTGTGGAGCACCTCAATTTTAGAGTTGTGTTGAGGCTGTTTTTTGTTTTTGTTTTTTTGTTAACTTCTCCCAAATAGAATCATGTTGAATCAGGACATGACTGTGTGATACAGTGTCTTTCATTGCATCATAAGATGATGCAACAGCCTGCTGTCCTAACAAGTTTATCCCATCAGACAAACACAGGAAGGTGACACCCTATTTTGATAAACCTGTGTGAAAGGTTTGGAAATATAATTTGCAGACCTAACAAAAGCCTTTTCAAGAGAGAAAAATGTTAAAGGGACACTGGCTGGGTTAAAAAGAAATCAATACCTGTGCTATCTATGTTAACTTTTGAACAAAACATTTTTTAAAAACTCTAATCTAATTTTCATTCTTTATCCTGCCTCTCTTACATTTTGTACTTCTTTGCTTAAAACAGTTAAAATAGGCTAGTTATTTTCCCATTTGTTTATGGTCAGTTTCACTTTCTGGTTTTAATGTAGTTGGACAATGCTACAATGTTTGGGTTGGCAGGAAATAGTAAAAAAAAAAAAAATTGGAATCTTAAAAAGGTCATGGAAAGATTTTATATAGGTTTTGTAAGAGACCTAAATTTGGGGCTAAATTTGACTTTATAGTGCCCCTTTAAAATGTTGAGAATTAAGTTAAGGCCTCTTTCAAAGACCTTCCTTATGCAAAACATTTTTTAAAAAATCAAGTCACACAGTCTTGGACCCATTTAGAAAACAGATGATCAAATTATATACTTGTAAATGTTGGTCTCCATTCTCGGTTTGAGTGGAAACGTTCTTTGTTTTGCCTACTTCAGAACTTCTAGGTTCTCTTTCTACTAGCAAAGGAGGTTCTTAATTTAGATCGAAAATGTGAATCGGCACAATTAAACTTCACCACTCGAAGTGTTGAGTAGGATTTTACTCTTGAAATGACTCTACCCGCCTACAACGGTTTTTCAAGTTTTTAGAAAAAAACAGATCTTTTGTTTTTGTTAACTATCTGAAGCTACAGCTAGGAGAGGCATAAATGAGAACAAAAAGAACTGACAGCTATTCAGCTCGTTGTGAAAATAGGCCCCCAAATCCATAAACTGGAAGGGGCTGAGGGGCTTCACATAGCCTTTCTTAAACATTGTATTAAAACTTTTGAGGAACAAGTGTTTTGCATCTATCTCTTACTCTTCTAAAGCCTGATCCAATATCCATTGAATTAGGTTGGAGTCTTTCCACTGACTTCAGTGGGAGCTAGCTCAGGCCCCTGTAAGAGGAGCATCTTTTTGTCAGTTCAGTAACTTAATGATGCAATCCTATGGTTCCTGTTTGTCACAAACCTATCAACTATTTTGTCTCAGACCAGATGTGTGATAGTGTATGTGTACAATAGGTGTTATTATATCACCAATGCTTAAAGGAAAAAACCCACTTTGGTAAGGAATAATTCAATTTATGGGTACTTTCAAGAATAAAAATTACAAACCTCCAAATCAACTTCAACCCAAGTTTCAATCCAGCTTGCCCAGTAGGACATAGGAGCCTTTCTGTAGGGGAATACTACCAACCACCTGACCAGGATGGTTATAGTCGCTGTGAAATGCTCAGG